ACTGGTGCACACTAATGAGCTGGCCCAGTGTTTTAGTATGTGACCCTTTTTTAATGTAAAAGCAGTTATGGATGTCATAGAATCCAGAATGATGCTTCTACTCTCACTGGCCCAAAGCATCGGGATTTTAACTGCAATCCAAATGAAAAGATGAAAGCAGATTGTAAGTGCTGAACAGTTTCCTCTGCAGAGTCAGCTGGAGAAACAGTTGCTCTTTTTACCAGCAATGGATCACAACACATTCTTCATCTGTGCAATGATGTCACCTTCATCATGAGTTGTGTGAGAAATACTCCCATCTTGTTGCTCACACTGACTCCAATCTGTCTCCTTGCTGTGAAACTTGGACAGAACATCCATCTGTGTTCAAGTATATACTGCATTTTTCATATATCTTCATAAATGTTTCCATGATTAACGATTTATTTATTTTTTATTGAGTATAGATCTTAGGAAGGGCGTAACATTTTTTAAAGTGAGGTAAACTTTGTCAATAGGCTGTTAGGGAGTTGGGATTGGAAGCTGAAATGTGTGTGAGTGTGTCACTGGCTGTGCTGTCGCAGTGGGTTTCTCACTCTGCCAGGACTGGCTTGGCCACAGGAACCAACCAGTAATGAGATCTCACTTCTGGCTCGCCTTCCTGCAGCAATGGCGTCAGCAGATACCGAAAAAGACTTCCTCCAATTAGACGCTGATGCATCCATTATCGAGATGACAAACATGTTGCATGAAAACAGAAAATACATGGTGATGTGAGCGTAACTTATGGAACGAGTAGTTGGTTTCCAGTGATTCTTTATATGTTGTGAAATTTGTCCTTTTATCTATCGTACAAAGTAGAGTTTATACATATGATGGTGTGATGCTTTTATCTTTAATGCCTGAAAAATGAAATAATAATAATAATGATAATAATAGTAATAATAATAATAATAATAATAATAATTTGCTAATGATTTGTTTTATTTCGAAATTCCGTAACACAAAAAAATAAAAACAAAACAAAAATGTCCAAAAGAAAAGTAGGAGGGCTCAGGTAAGTTCAAAGTTCAAAGGTTTAATAAGTCCAAAAAATTAAATAAATTAATTAACACTGTGTGAGTCTTCGTCAGAGTGACATCTGAGTGCTTAGGCAGTTTATTCCACTAAATAATTGTCCCTTGCCACCTGTAGATCTGCAGATCTTCCACCAGGGGGAAGTAAACAGGTATAGGACTGAATATGATGAAGGATTTTGAGGAAGGTACTAATACTGTCAGAGGCAGCAGTAGCTCAGGAGGTAGAGCGGGTTGTCCAGAATGGGAAGGTTGCAGGTTCGATCCCGGCTCAGACCAGAGAAGGCTGCTGTTGTGTCCTTAGGCAAGACACTTAACCCGCCTTGCCTGCTGGTGGTGGTCAGAGGGACCGGTGGCGCCTGTGTTTGGCAGGCCTCGCCTTTGTCAGTGCGCCACAGGGCAGCTGTGGCCACGTTGTAGCTCATCCCCACCAGCGTGTGAATGGGTGAATGACTGATTGGGCTGTAAAGCACCTTGGGGGGTTGTAGAACCCACAGAAGGCTATACAAATACAGGCCATTTACCATTTACTGATACTGTTAAAATGTCTGGGATATGAAGCGACTAAGTCCCTGACTGTACCAGGGAATTAGAATTAAAAGTAGCATCCAGCTGATGATCGGCAATTGTGTAAAAAGGAGAGAAGAGGTTTGCGTTCACACAATGCAAAGGTGAATAATGCTTTTGGCTTCTTTTATGATAAAATGCCTAAAATTCTAACATTGTGTTCAGTTTCTGTGTTATGTTGCAAACATTGGGGGCTTGTTCGGAATCAACCAATCCTTTATTTATGGAACACCCTCCAATAGAAATGACAAATCTAGGTGCTTCATACCAATGAAGGAAAATAAAAGGTTAAATACTTAAAATGAAGACAAGAACTCATAAATTTGAAGTTTTTATTTTTAAATTAAGGTATAATGGGAAAGTAAAAGATTCACAAGTGTTGTAACAAAACCTCTCAGCATTTGTGTAAAACTGCAAACATGAAAATGACCAATGCTTTTATATTTCTTCTCACATTTGTGCACCAATTGTCCTTCAGAAAAATCAGACTCCCTTCCACTCTAACACCAAACTTAAACGTTGCTCCAGTTAAAGAAACACAAGGTTTTCCACCACAATCATCAAACTGCACCTCATCATTATTCAGCCAGTGATGCATGGTCAAGCACAAAAAGCTTTCCCTCTGATTAAGTCAAGTATAAATACTCAAACCATTACACTCTGTTCTCACACACCTCCCTCACTGCTTTCTAGTGCCAGGCATATTTAATTCTGTTCAAACCTGCAGTGCACAGCCGGCGGCAGGAGTGTGCATGTGTAAAAGCAGCTGGTGTGGGGCCGGAAACCTGAAGCATGCATGTACTCGCACATGCCTATATATTATCCATACATATGTCAGGAACCTGAGCTGATAACGGCTTGGATCCTCGTTTAGTTATATTTGTCTGCAGATACTCAGAAAACTGTCTGCTTTTGTCTTGTTGTATTTTGTATTTCATCAGAACACGTCTCAACAAAACAAACAAATACTCCATGTTTTCTCAAATAAACTAGAGTTTTAGATTATAATAGATTTTATCAATCCTAAAATGGGGAAATTCACTTCCTGCAGCAGCACATACTATCGTCTCTTGTCTTCTTCCACCTATCAGGGTCTGGGTCATGGAGCATCCCAACTAGGGAGGTCCAGACCGTCCTCTCCCCGGCCACCTCCAAGCTCCTCTGGTAGGACCCCAAGGCGTTCATGGGCCAGTTCAGAGATGTACTTTCTCCACAACACATTCTCACACCCTAAGCGTCGGAAACAAACGCTTGGTCAGCCACCCTCCACGTCAGACCCCAGACGCCAAAAGTGCCCATTTTCGTTACTTATGTGCAAAAAGGGGTTTCCCCTTTTGTAACTGCAGATCCCAATGCAGCGTAAAACTGACGTGATTAGATATCCGCTGATGCGGCACCGAACCAGCTCATTTAACCGCACCTAAACCTTAACATTTCACTATTTATAACCTTCCCCTCTCCCTCATCCTAACCTTAACCCTCTTGCTACCTAAAACGTTACTCTCACTGCGATCAAGCGTTTGTTTCCCCTGCATTCTGACTCTGACACTCAGTCTGACTGTGAATTTTCGTATTTGCCGCCCAAGGGGAACGTTAGAACATACCATCTGGCGAGGGGGAGGTTACACATACCCTCTACTTTTAACCTCCACCGTGGTAGTTGAAACCTCCCCCTCACGTTGGCTCGGTCCAAACTCGACCAATCACGAGGCGGCTCCCGCCGTTCACTTCATAGAGCCGGCTTTTAGAGCGATCGACACATCACCAACGTGTTCGCTGGCAAGATTGTTAAGGTTATGATAGGGGTGAGGGGAATGTTAAATAAGAGGATAAGGTTAAGGTGAGGTACAATGAGCCTGTTTGGTGCCAGTGTAACGCTGCATTGGGATGCAACGGTAGCGGACATCCCATCGCTTCAGTTTTACACTGCATTGGGATCTGCAGTCAAATAAGGGAAAAACCCCTTTTCGCACATAAGTAACGAAAAAGTGCACTTTTGGCTTCAGGGGTCTGACGTGGAGGGTGGCTGACCAAGCGTTTGTTTTTGACGCGCTGGGAGTGAGAACATGTTGTTCTCCATCATGTCCTGGGTTGACCAGGGCCCCCCCCCCCCCTGGTATTATTATTATTTTGTGATTTAGTTGCTCACTTTAGGCACCTCGCACCATCTGGTATTTTATTTTGTTTTATTTGTGCCATTTCAAATGTTTTTATCATTGGTCGCATTATTTTATTTTTTAGTGCTTTTAACTGTTCTCCTATTTTATTGTTTTTAGTAGGAATTTTTATCTCTGACTATTTATACTTTGTTCTTATGTATTTTGCCTGTTCTTATTGTGTTTCTTTGTCAAGTATTTGACTTTTTATGTACAGCACTTTGGTTAGCTGCCATGTTATTTTGAAATGGTGCTTTATAAATAAATATGGTATGGTATTATTATTATTATTATGATCGTGATTGTTGTTATTATTATTGTTATTGAGAGGTATGTTCTTATTTTCTACTGATCAAATTAATCACAATATTTTTAATTGGGTCAAGCTGACACTAGAATAAAAAACTATTAAACCTCTTTATATTATACCTTTTAGGATGTGTTAAAATCATGTACTGATGTAAAAGTTCAAGTATTTTTCTCAAACCTAACCGTATGACTAAATCTAAAATGTAAAAAAAAAACTGATCTAATAGAATACGGGGGAAAAAACCAATCAGAACCTGAAATAAAGACAGAAAGCAGGAACAGACGTATACTGGAGCATGTATTTCTTCACCAGCTCCCCCTTCACCCACTGAAGCTCAAATTACAAGCTACATGGAAATGGACCAGGAAACAGAACAAAGTGTTTGAAGTGTCAACTCAATTGCCAAACTCCACCCTGCTGGGATCTGATGGCATTTGTGGGATGCAAGCCCAGTCTACAGAAACCCCAACCCACAACCCATAGGACCCAAAGGAGCATTAACTTACAGACACCTTCAGGCATTTTTTTCTGTTCAGCTCTCGAGCCGGACTGGCATGTTGTCTGACACGGCATTACGGAAATACACACAAACATGGAGCCAAACACTCCTCTGGCTCACTGTGACCCAGACATTCATGTAGCACATCTAATGATCTAAATAGTCCTTTCATGCTGTAATGAACTATATGAAAACATATCCTATATATACTCAATAAAACCACATGCCACGTGATCCTCATGTATGCCAGCTAACTCAGAGCTGAGGATGGAAACCCCAGAGAAGCTAAAAACACTGGACACCTGTTCCCTGGACTCCACTCGTCAGTAACAAGAACGCTGGAATGGGCATCAGGTGGCCGTTGTGAGGCATCACTTCCTTTATGACCATGCTCTATTTAAAGGCCAGCGTGAAGCCAGGAAGCTTCAGCAGAAGGGATTAAGAGCAAAGCCGGTAGACTCCTCACACCAGCCGCTCAGCCACCAACCCCTTGGATTATCCCAAAGACTTCGGATAGTTCTGTGGACATCTATCCAGGGATTCTGGGAAACTTTCAGTTGGAGACGTATTCAGAATCTGGAGCTTTTTGTTTGACATAAACTTTTTCAAATTTTCATTTAACTCAATTAACATTAAAAAGTCATTCCCTCTCATTTTTACTTTGATGTCGGTTTAAGCTTCGATCTTTGAGTTAGCCCAAGACAAACCTCCAAGGCCAGCTCAGAGAATCTGCTTCACTGCATCACTGAGACATGAGTAGTGGTGGGACCGCCACCGTAACAAGCCCGGAGCCGCAGTCTTTTAAGCGCGCTGCCCGTAAAATAAAATGTGCAGCTCTGGTAGCAAATTTGGCCAAGAGCTGGCAGGGATGGGCCAAGCAGCACTCGGACAAACAAGACGCCATTCCCAGTGGCTGGATGCCCTCATCTGTTGAAGAAGACAGAAAAGAACGCACACATGTGGTTAAACTCACCGTTACTCCACGAGTGATTGCAGCCGATCCCAGCGATGCCAATGAAAATGAAATCCGCACCGGATCTGTGACCAAAACTGTGCAGGTGAAACGCACTGACTGCAGCAGCAGCAATGTGGTCAACGCCATCCGAAACAAGATGGAGTCAGGTCCGGAGGATTACAAGCCATTTTTAGGCAATGAGTCACCAACACGACGTCGTCAGATGAGGGCGCTGCAGAGTGCAGGAGGAGGAGGGATGGTCCAAGACAAGAAGCTGAAGCTTCAGGAGAAGAAATCTGGTTCAAGCTTGGATACAGAGGGCAGCTGGCTAGGGGAGGACGGTGGGCTCAGGGAGAACAGTGAATCACAAATGGAACAAAGGGCCATCCTGACCAGCACAATGAGCAACAAACCCAAGGTAGAGTGCTACATCAAAGCAAAGACAAGTTCACACCAAAGAGTAAAACAAGATAACATAGTTTTACACACATTCACATAGGTTTACATAAAAATCTATAATATTCTTTTTGAACTATGATAGATCACTCAGAGTTTCACATGCAGGCTGAACATGAAGTGTTTCTTCTGGCCCCATCTCCTGCATCAGCTGTCAAAAGATGGTTGATCAGGAAAAGGTCGGGTCAGAAAAAGCCACACAGATTTATGTCACACTGTAAATTAGCATTCATGGACTCAACTACCATGGCTTCCAACCGGGGAAAGGCTGTGTGGATTTAGTGGTGAGGAGAAAGCGGAGCACAACTGGGCTAGGAGACGCCAACCATTAGCAGTTTCACAACATGGAAGACCCCAACTGGGCTTGTGCTGTTTGTGGAAATCAAACATCAACGTTGCAGAGCGAACGGGGGCAGGGGAAGAGTCGTGTTGCTGTTGGCTAATCTGAAGCAAGTGTGCCGCATTTTAATCTGGTGTCACTCACAATCATTAATCCGTAATTTTCACTTTCGCTGACAGTTTTAGGTACTTTTTTAAATTAATGTCTCAGTTTTAGCAGAAAACCTTTAATTTGAAAAGAAGAAAAAAAATTGTATAGCACCTCTCAAGAAACAACAAAAACTATATATATATATATATATATATTTTTAAACATAGTAGAAAATATGGGGGAAATGGAAAAATTTAAATAAAAAAAATGAGAAAGAAGAATGAAAATGAATAAGAAAAAGGAGATAGTTTAGCCAAAGTACTCCATCCTGACCTTTAGGTGGCCAGAGAGAGGAAAACAGGGCCACAGGGGAGGGAGTTACATCAGTCTGCAGCTAGAAATATGACAAACTTACATTTTAATATTACATTTTTGTTTCCAAAAGCATTGAATCAGCTTGCTGACTCAAAATAACCCAACAGTGCTTCTTTAGTCTCCAATAACTTTTCAATTTTTAATCTACTGTTTGATGTCAAAAAATAATTTAGCTCCTTTTCTTAATAAATCTAAATTTTATGCTGAGGGGAAGTGATGCTAACAACAACGAGAGCTGCATGGCAATGGTGTCTCACCTTATAGGACACAAACATGCTGACATCATCAAAAGTTTAAAATGTGAATGTTTTGCAGGAATAATTTTGAATAACTTTTGTAAATAACAAAAAAAGTTTCCACAGAAATTTGTTAATTTTTTTTCTAATTTCATGCAAAAACAACTTTTCCAACAAACTAACATTTGCATGTGGTTAATAGAAAACACAATGAACACTTAAGTAAAAACCAAACAAACAGAAAGCTTTGAAACATAAAACTGAAACACTAACGTTTCACACATACCTAACAAGTATTTTTGTGTATTTATGAGTTTCAGTTAAAAATGTTGCAGCTGCGCTCTCAAAAGCTATTTCCAGAAGATTGCAAAACGTACTTTTGAGATTGCTGGTTTATTCGTAGAACGTATTTTAATCATTATAAAATATGTCTGAGTGTGCGAAGCAAAGGCCAAGCTGCAGATCTGGTTTAACAACTGGCACCGAGTTTATGTGAAGAGCAGTGGTCATTTATCTCACGCTACATCTATGATGGGGAGGTTGTGCTTATGAGACGGAAACAAAATTCTCATTGCAGCTTTAGAAACAAGATGATAATTTGAATAAATGAAGAATGTTTTGTGCAAATTACAGTTGAGGGGTGAGCTTGCAAGCTAAATGGGGAAGTCAGTATGTTCTGGCAATAGCAGAAAACAAGGTATCCTAATGCATATAAATGATTGAGCAGATTGAGTATTTTGCACTTAAATTCACTTTTAAAACTTCTTTGCAAGAAAGTCCTGCAACTCTGCAACAATAAAACCCAATGTTATTTATTATTTCAAAAGGCATTTTCTGCCAAAATAACAACTCTAGCATAAATGTGGTGTTGAATGTGATTTCTGATTTAACTGGTTTAACTGCAGATTAAAATCGCCACCATGAGTGACATCAAGAGCCGCTGGCAGCAGTGGTCTGAGCAGCACACAGAAGGTCAGAAACTCAACCCCTTCAGCGAGGAGTTTGACTACGAGTATGCCATGACCCAGCGTCTCCGCAAAGGCGATTCTGGCTACGGTCGACCCAAAGATGGTTCCAAGACAGCTGAGAGGGGCGACCGGGCCCAGAAACACATCCACAGAGAGATGGAGGAGATGGTTTGGATCATCAGAGACATGGGCTTCAAAGATAAAGAAGGCCGGACAATTATTACCTTTGGCCGGCTCTTTGATCGCTACGTGAAAATTTCAGACAAGGTGGTGGGAATTCTGCTGCGTTGCCGCAAACACAAGATGCTTGACTTTGAGGGGGAGATGCTTTGGAAAGGACAAGACGATGATGTCATTATTACGCTGAAGGACTAAGAATGGACATGCCCACAAAACCCTAAAACAAGAACTTTAAAGAGCAAGTCACCTCCCTGCCAGAGCCTAACTCCCCACACTACTTGTTTGAAATATGCACCTAAAGGATGCGTCGCGTGGTGGACCGAGATGCAGCGCAATGACTGACAGCCCGCCACCAAGCCCCACCTCACCCTACTTACACACCTCACCCTACTTACACACCTCACTCTACTTACACACCTCACCCTACTTACACACCTCACCCTACTTACACACCTCACCCTACTTACATACCTCACCCTACTTACACACCTCACTCTACTTACACACCTCACCCTACTTACACACCTCACCCTACTTACACACCTTACCCTACTTACATACCTCACCCTACTTACACACCTCACTCTACTTACACACCTCACCCTACTTACACACCTCAGCTGGAGAAGCACACAGACAGAAGAGGAAGTGTTTTTGAAAGAGGTAAGCCATCAGCAATGGCTGATTCAAATTCTATGTAGAGCAGAGCTATTTCAAGTTTAGATTAAATAAAGTGCCAAAATAATAACTACACACGTCTACAGCACGATTAGACACTCATTTATACAGTTTCTGAGCAAAAATGTTTGATTTGGGGGTGACTTGCTCTTTAAAAATCTTCAAAAGAGATTTTAAAGCATTTTTTTAGGCAAAACATAAAACTACATGATCAAGATCGTTTGCAGTAAATCTGCCTATGATGTCAACAGTAAAAGGAACATTAAATTAGCATTTGTGACATTATCAAAGGTTTATCATGGCATGTGTTTAGATGTTTGCACCATCAACATTTACAGAGCACACACACACCCATGTTGGCCTCATCAGTTCTTCTCATACCTGATGGATCATGAGAGGTAGCTATCTTTAGCATGCTAGCCATGCTTGCCACGCTGGCTGTGCAACATGCTAGAGGCCTTGAAAACTCACCTAAGTGCCAGACAAGCTACAGGTAAGGAAACACAAGAGTTGACTTCATTAAGAAAATTATTCATAAAGTCAGCAGTTTGACCTTTTTTTAGCACTTTTTTGTTACAGTAAATGTTTGCACATAAATTTAGGCTACAGCACATAAACAACATTTAAATGAGACAGAGACTATTATTTATTCAGCTGATTATTGAACTTTTAGATTAAAAAGTTAAAGTGGTCCTTCACTGAGAAACAATTTTTTACTTATTATTTTTGAAAATGATCAGGCTGAACATGAAAATAGTCTCCTACACCTATCTCCTGCATTAGCTTCTGATAGAAAACAGACGGTGAAACTCTAGGATTACAAAATCCTGACAGATCTACGTCACACTGTCACTTAACACTCATGGACTCACCCATCTGGACTCACGACGGGGAAGGCTGGTGAAGGTTTAGAGTCCAGGAAACAGCAGGAAATGTGTCCGCTAGTGGAAGCTAACCATTAGCATTAACAACTCCACCACATGGCAGATCTTCTCAGACTTGTGTTTTTTGTAGAGATAAAACATCAAGTGGCAAATCAACTGTAGAGTCGCATTGCTGTTAGCCATTCAGAGGCAATATGCCCAAATATCAGGATATAAGACACCAAATCCTGTCGTCTGAAGCTGCTTTCTCCTCTGGCTGAACTCTCCACGCTGGAACAGCTGCATAGGAGCTTCTTGTCCCCAGAGCATAACTTACCAGGCATTCATTCCTATTTTAGACTACTCCAAATGTATAAAAAATATGAGTGAAGGACCTCTTTAAAACTCGGTGGATCCACATGGAAAAACAGTAATGAGACAAAAAAATTAATAAAAACACACAGAATAACTACAGCAAAGCTGTTTAGCATCTTATCCTAACCTTATGGTAAAAAGTACACATATAACACCTTAAATGGCTGTAAATTACTAAGTATTGTCTTGCTTTCTTAAAAATATATAAAACAGAAGAAACTTGATAAGAAGTCATGTATCCCATTTAAATGGAAAGTGGTAATAGGCCTGTTTGAGTAACACAACATACTTTTGTTTGACCTTTTTTTTTTAAATAAAGGGTCGTTAATCGAATGTAATGAAATTAAAAAGAGGTGCTTAAAATTTGGACATTATTTGATTGTGTGAATCTTCTTTTATTCTTTAAGTGTGGTATATTTTTGTTTCCATGGTCAGATTTTTAACACGTTACATTGTAGTAAATAAAAAGCACTGTCACTTTCTTTTGTAATGGTCTTTTTTTCCATGTAAATGTAAAATGTAAATAAAATTTAGGGACAAACTGAGCTGCAGATATAATGGATTAAATTATGTTAGTCAAAAGAAATCACAAATACAAATTAGTTAAAAGTTTAAAACTTTAGATGCCTTTGTAATTTAAGGGATTTTTGTTTTTTCAGATGATGTCACAGTGAAAGGTTAGCTACACCAGTAACACTTTATAATAAGTGCACACTATTAAGCATCAGTTAATCATCAGTAAAGCATTGGTTAATGGTTATTTAATCATTTGTAAAGCATCTACAAAAACATGATCATAATTACTTAACAGCTTACAAGCACCACTTTAAAGGCTTCATTCAAGATGAAGAAGCTACTGTGTCACACTTTTTCTTCATGATGTTTCATGATCTATAAGTCATTTATTAATCATTTATTAACTCTGCTCTCCATGATTTACAAACCAGTCATTTCATGATGTAAAACAGTATACAACCCCATTGGTAAAGTAAGTAAATAGTTAACATACCCTATATAACACTATAAACTAAACATCTACTACACATTAACTAGTCTCACTAGATGTTTTCTAAACACTGAATCTCACGACTACATCAGTCAGCTACTAAATGTTAACAGATGTCTTACAATACATTTACAATTCACTTAACGGCTTCCAAAGATGCAGCTCCCACCGACCCACTTCTTTTTCAAAAGATAATTTATCAGTTATTATTAATACATTAATACACTACTTTAGAACGTTACAAACCATTTACTACTTCTTAGTTAAGTATTTTGAGTGAGCTCATCTAAAGTGGAGACTATATATACCTTACAACCTATTTATAAAAGTGAAAGTTTTTCAAAATACATTGTAACAAAAATAAAGGACAACACAGATACAGAAAGGACTTTATTTTTAAGATGCCAATTATAAAACATCTAAGAATTATTCATGGCTGCAGGGGTGAAAAAGGAAATATTTAAAGAAGTTTCCAGAAGTTCACGTCAGAGCCCTTAAGTGCCCACTGATGCAGCAGTGAGATGATGTGGAGCCCTCATGCTTGCCAGTCAAGACACTGATGGAAGATTTTTAGTTTCTTCACTTTCTTTCTCATTACACTCTCCTACTTGAAGGACAAGTCAGAGTGAAAGCCATGGAGTAGAGGAGTGCTGAGGGAACTGAGAGCCATGTGGGACAGTTGTGACAAGTAAGTATTAAAATGTGTCAATCACAGTCTCACTGTTCAACATGAGCACAGGACCTTAGCTGTTTCATTTCATTCCTGCAGGAGGTTTTTCCTAAGGAACAGATAAAAGCTGCTGATTTTATTTTTCCATCCATCCATTCATCCATCCAGCCATCCATCTTCACCTAGATGAATCCAGAAAGGAAACCCAAATATCCTTCTCCCCACCAATACTCCCCAGCTTCTCCTGGAAGATCCTAAGGTGTTCATCAAAGATAAATAATCCCTCGTGTGAATAGTCTGGGTCTTCCCCAGGGTCTCCTTCAAGTGTAACACACCTGAAAAAACCTCCAGTTACAGTGATGGCTGCTGATAGAAATGTGGTGGGGCTGTGAAGATTTATCTTCTTATTCCATTATAATTATTCAAATGAACAGTTGGAAAATCACCAGAGTTTCATAACAATGATTTTCCCCCTTCTCCACATAAACCGTTTCTGTCATGATCTGCCCCTGCCTTCCTGACTGTGTCCCTCTCCTGCCTGATTAGTCCCTATTGGTTTCACCTGCCCCTTGTTAACCTGCCCATGTGTTCCTTATTTTCCTCAGTGTATTTATACCTCCCGTCTCGTTATGTCCTTTGTCAGATCGTTGTTTGTAGTCACCGTTGTTTTGTTCCTGTCGTTCCCATTCCACCATTAAAACCATTTTTATTTTTCATCTGTGCCTGCTCTCCTGCCTCCTGAACTCTCCACCACACATGGTCCATCACCTCCAATCCCCTCAACATGACAGTTTCACTGAGTTAGTTATAACATTTACAGGAATATAATAATAATAATAATAATAATAATAATAATAATAATAATAATAATTATATCAATAATAATCAATTTTCTTCTGCTTATCCAGAGTTACGTTGCAGGGGCAGCAGCCTAAGTCGAGATGGCCAGACGTCCTTCTTCCCAGCTACTTGGGCCAGCTCTTCCGGGGAAGCCAGACGTTCACTGGCCAGGCAAGGGAAATAGTCCCTCCAACCTGCCCTGGGTCTCCCTTTAGGTCTCCTCCCAGTTGGACGTGCCAAAAAACCTCACCAGGGAGGCGTCCAAGAGGCATCCGAATCAGATACCCGAGCCACCTCAACTGGCTCCTCTCGAATACTACTACTAATAATAATGATAATAGAATAGAATAGAATGGACTTTATTGATCCCAAAGTGGTGAATTTCACTTGTTACAGCAGCACAAACACTTAAGAGAATATCTTTTGTACGTTCTTGCTGTGTTTGTCTTCTAATTCCATTTTTGGTTCTTTTTTATAACACAGATAAGGTTTCTCCTTACCTTGTGTAACGTGAGGAAATATGGGTTTTCTGTGCCAAAGGTTGTACTTGGCCCGGTTGGGTCAGAGCTGGGTCGCTCAGAACTTTAACCCACAGATTAAGACCTTTGCCGACATGAAGTCTGCAAGAGTCTGCTGCAAACCATAACATCTGCCACCTGCAGTGCCAGAAGATGTTGTTCTCATGGAAGCTAGTCATAACATAACAAAGTCTTAAAACTTCCTTTTCTTTATATTAAATGCTGAATAATCATTATTATCATTTTGCTCATTATAAATGTGTTTTAATCAAATGAATGATTATTATGCTTTGGGTAATCATAATGAACTATAATGAATCAATACTTAATTAAATAATGTTTGGAAGATGTTATAATGACCTTCACGCACACTCAAACACTCACACACACACACACTCTCAAAGTAAATTCAAAACACATTTGCTGATGCACACGTTTGCTTTAAGAGAAAGGTTTTTGGTAAGTTTTCAGTTCATGATTCAGTTCGGTGTTGGTCAATGAGAGAGAGAGGACGTGTGAACAACCGCTAACGGGGGAACGGAGCCCACCGGCTCCTCCCCCCCCCCCCCCCCCACGCTATTCCTGCCAAGCCAGACAGGATAGCTGAATTACAACCGCTAACGCAGACTCGTCCCGAGTCTTTTGATTTCTGAGTAATTTAAATTTAAGAAAGCGCATCTGCAAACGCTCCAACAACGTGTACCGAGGTCAACTCTGGACCGGAGCGTCGGACACCTTCGTCTTCTCTGCCAGCCAAGGTGCTCTGGATGAAACATCCTCCTTTGACGTCTCGGATCTAAAAGAGGGTCCTAAGTCGGTGAGGCAGTCCACAATAGATAGCGTTCTGATGCAATTGTTTTCCAACAAAACCTAAGTTTATTCAAACCATCACTTTTCACTCAGACACCTGTTTCTTCCTGAGGCAAAATCAGACGCACACACGCATTCATATCACATCATTCTCCATCTTCACACATTCAACACAAGGTCTATTGGAGCAAGTTTAAAATATTAACTGTTAAAGATTGTCCAACAAAGTTGCCAATGTTGATTGTTATTTCCTATGCTTGTCATTTCAAAATCATTAGTTTAATTTGAAGAATTAAATCTTTTAACTTTCAAACTTGTCTCTTCATTGAACTGAAACACAGACCCACGGATATTATCGTCAGTTTTTCGATGAAAACAACCTTTGAGTCTTCTTAACCCCATAAAATTTGGTTATTAATTTATTAAAAATTAATATTCCAAATTAATATGTAGGATGGTTCATCTTTCATAAAAGAGCATAAACCATTACACTACACTTGCCGACGGTTTCGTTTGCAGCTGCAAACATCTTCAGAGCTGACTGATGGTGGCATCTCTTCCATCATCGGAGAGGGGAGAGCGGGCAGCAGAGGGAGACAACGTCCTCTGCTGCCAGCGGATAAACGGAGTAGGAAGTGACGCCACCATCAGCGTCAGCTCTGAAGATGTTTGCAGCTGCGAACGAAACCGTCAGCAAGGTAAAGAGAAACCTTATCTGTGTTTTAAAAAAGAACCAAAAATTGAACTTAAGAGAATAAGTTGAAGAAAAATAATAACAAAGGTACATGTACACATAGGGTATTTCACTGGTGTTATTCTGTACCAGGATAATGCCAGTACCAGTTAAGCTGAGGAGATCTACACTCTTACTGCAGAGGGGTTGAATGACCTGCGGTAGCGTTCTGTTTTACATCTGGGATGTCTCAGTCTGCCTCTGAAGGAGCTGTCCATGGTCCCCACAGTGGGATGCAGTGGGCAGGGGGCAGGGGGTGGGGGTGGGGGGGTGAAGATGGGTTTTAAGGTTTTGTGTGAAAGGATGTTTAGGACGGCAAATGTTAGTTTCACTAAAGTGATGTCATCAAACCAGACACTGACAAGAAAATGGATGTGACTTTAGCAAACTTTCAATTCTTCATCAAGGACAACAGAAGGAGTATTCAAAGAGGATCAAACCACTATAAATCTGGTCATGTGGTAAGTGGTAGCTACACTGGGGAGAAGATAATCTGTGATTATGTCATTTATGTGACGTCTGATTTGTAGTTGTTTTGATAGGAATTTTTTACAGGTAATAAATCTGAAAGTACGCGACAGACAGTTGAATCTCACATCAGTACTTTGCGTTTAATTTAAAGTACAACATACGTCAGATTCAGGGAGTGAGGCAAAGCAGAAAAAAAATAGCTTTCATAGCTTTGTTCATTTGCATTCTTTTTTTTTGTTGTTGTTGTTTCGGGGACCCATAAGCCAATAGGAAGGGGAGGAGACTAAGGCTTTCAACGAGGAGGAGCAGCGTCTCTACTCTAAACAATCCTGTCATCTGTAAGGCTGAGCTCAGGTGCTTGTGCCTAGACTGACCAGCCAGCCCTATAAGGAAGCATTGGGCCTGGGAACACTCCCATTCAAATAACCCCACCCTCTGAGAACTCTAACCGAGCCAATCAGCTCTGAGCAGCGTATGTCACACACCACAACGCTCAGTTTCTCATAAACAACGAAGACGGCGTCTGAAGCGGAGCTCTAAATGACTGGAATGTTTTTAAAACCGCAACAAGTAGAAGCTCTAAAAACCTTTCTTCTAAAGAAAGACGTCTGCACGGTTGCCAGACGCCATTTTTGACTACAGCTAAAAACTACAGCGTCGCGCGGCACAGTCGGCATTTCCTCCTTTCTTCTGATTGGTTATTTTTGAGCTGGCTAGTCCCGCCCCTCATGTGCCTCTCTGCCTGTGAGTTACCAGACTAGTTCTCTGTGTAGGATTAAACAGAGGACGAGTCTGGCAGGTCAGGCTAGCTTGTACTTGGGATCATCAGTCAGGATTAGAGATGGACCAAGGCTCAGCTTCCTCCTCACCCCACCCTAATTACAGCAGATGATACCCCTAATTAGTTGGTCCTTTTCTTGTTCTATCCTGAAAATCACTGTCAATCACAAGGAACTAGATGCAGGTAAAACCTGAGTCCCAACCCAATAGGAGAATACTTTTCCCAGATTTGGAAAACCTGACTTTATTTTCCTCACGAAAAATGAAAATGCTCACAACTCAAAGCACAATGAACTGTTCTTCTCAGTTGGACACTTTTACTGCAATACACAGCAAATTATTATTACAGTGGTTAAAAAGGGTCATCCAGAAAACCATCAACAGAGAATATTTTCCTTTTGGGAAGATGGACAATTAAAAGAAAAAGTGAGAAGTTGAGAGAATTGATGGAGGAAAAGCAGTAAAAGAAAGGAAAAGGATGAAGGAAGAGGTGAGAAAACATGAGGAAAAATGATTAATTATAGAAGGTAAGATGAAAACATGGCTGAACAAAACAGCAAAGGATGATAGATCGAGGCGAGTTGGAATCAGAGTCAAAAAGCACAACTCTGTCCTATGTGCTGTCGGTACATAACCAGAGTACAAAGTGTTTGAAACCCTAATTTCTCCTGCGGAGGAAATGATTTATGTCCCAATTATACTTTGCTCCATTATAGGCCTCCTGCTGCTTCGTCCAATTTCACAGCATGTATTTGTCTTCCCTTCTTTGTGTATGCATGTCACGTACTCCTGCATATAATCTTCTCTGTCTGTCAGTCTGCACATGTTCATTCAAATCATGCCTTTTGCCTGTGTGTGTGTGTGCATGGCGGGAGAGAAAGAGAGACCTTAACACAAGCTGACTGGTTTGGTCACTAGCCACAGAGACGGTGGAGGGAGGGAGGGAGGGGGGTTGGGGGGTGACAATAGGAGAATCAGGGGAAAAATGAAAATATTGGCGTGCAACCGTTTGGGAACTCCAGAACAAACTTGATGCTGCAGCCGAAACACTGAAAGGTTATTTCATATCAGAAAAAAAAATGACACATTATTGAGATTTTATATCATTTTTGAGTGAAAAAATAAACTGGGTAACACTTTAGTTCAGGGAACACAAATTAACCATTAATTAGCTGCCAATTAATATGCATATTAGTGGACTACTGAATTAAGAGTGGCCATAAATTAAGAGTTTTATCAAAATAAGCCATTGATAATGGTTTGTTAACTGAAAGTAAATGATTTGTTGCTGATTAACATACATACTAAGTAGCTCAAATCAATATGTAGCTTTTAAAGAAGTAACTCAGGGGTAATATTCTTGCATTTAAGTGGTTATTTAATACTCAACTACTAGTAATTAGGTATGTTACAACCAAGGGTTGTTATGAGTGATGTAAATAGAAAAGAAAACTGTGAGAGAAAGTGAAACTGCGGATGTGATTCCCGTTGAAATGAAACTGAGCTTGGACATAAATAGTGATACGTTGATCAGAACACAGCAGAATGATCAGTCTTTAAGATCATGTTTTTCTTCTGTTGCAGATAAAGGACCTAGCAGTAATGTAACATATTACATTAGGGATGGGGTTTTGCTGAGGTCTTGGTCTCCAGACTCGAGTGAGTTGAAAAAGGTAGAACAAGTGGTTGTTCCAACAGACCTTAGACCACAGATTTTGAGCATAGAGCATGATGCCAGTTTAGCTGGACATCTTGGAGTGAAAGACACATATGACCGTATACTGCGTAATTTCTTCTGGCCGGGATTAAAATCTGGTGTAACAAAGTATTGTCGTTCGTGTCAAACCTGCCAAGGTGTAGGGAAACCAAATAAACCAGTCCCACCAGCGCCTCTTTGTCCTATCCATGTGATTGGTGAACCTTTTGAAAGGACAATATTGGATTGTGTGGGCCCATTGCCAAAGTCAAAGTCAGATCATTAGTATATCCTTACTATTATGTGTTCTGCCACTCGCTTTCCAGAAGTTTTTCCTTTACGGACTGTAAAAGCTAAACCCATTGTGAAAGCTCTAACCACCTTTTTCTCAACCTATGGCTTCCCCAAGGTTGTTCAGATTGACCAGGGATCGAATTTTATGTCAAAGGTATTTGCACAGGTTTTAAAAGCATTACGAATCCAGCATCAAACCTCCGGTCCTTACCATCCAGAGTCTCAAGGAGCACTGTCGCACTGAGTGTCTCTTTCTTGCTTATCAGTTAGCGCAAGAGAGTTTATCCAAGGCACAGTCTAAGATGAAAATGTGTTTTGATAAAAAGTCTGTGGCCCGGAACTTCACTCCAGGTGAAAAAGTTCTTGTCCTACTCCCTTTAAGTGGAGCTAGTCTGCATGCTCGGTTCTCTGGCCCTTATGAGGTGGACAGAAAAATAAATGACACTAACTATGTGATCAAAACCCCAGATCGGAAAAATTTTTTTTGAGTGTGTCATGTCAACATGATAAAGAGGTATTTCTCCCGAGAAAATGTTGTAAATGGTCAAAGCCTTCCTGCTGCCTCTGTTTCTGTGTGTTTGCCGCCACCCTCCTATTCTCTTGTAGCGTCATGAATGTCCTGTTTATGACCTTAAGGTCATGATCTGCTGTGTCTGCTCGAGCAGAGACATAAAGTCTCTGACAGGCTAATCTACATGAGAAATTGGCCAAGGTCTTTCATGCACTCTGCTCATCTGAACTGCTTCACCTTTGTTACCAAGACGAAGACGAAGAACTATTTTGATAAATATTTTCATATTTCTATGGAATCTCACATTTTATAGTTCATAAGTAAGATGTAAACGACCCATTCTTTACATATTGGCGAGCCCTATGCCATTTATTTGTATATTATGACATTTTGTGTTGATTCTGAGTGATTTTAATCGATAAAACACTCAAAATCCATCAAAAATTGATGTGTTTGGTGAGAGATGGAATGATCTCGTCATCCGCCACTAGAGAGCAGTCGACCTTCATTTAAGTCTAAAAAGGGGGGTGACACCAGTCACCTCCGACAGGGGGGCGCTGATTCCTCTCTTTCACCCAAAGGCTGAGTCATCATTACTAGTTCTGCCACATTGGAGTTATAACTATAAAGCTTTATCTGCACATGTTTTTCCTGCTGTCATTTATAAGGTAAATTCATGTCATTTAATCTGTTGTGATTCTGTCACGTGTTTTGAGTGAATCTGTGTTCACTGTGTATAACTTGTGTAGCTGGAGACAGAGCTTCTCCACGGTTCCGGTCTGATCCCTGTGAAACCGATTCTAACCCCGTTAGCTTGACAAAGCATAG